AATTCCACTTTCAAACGAAGCGCTTCCTGAAACCAGACGATGGCAACAAATCAGTACTGACAAACAATCAAAAACTATATAAAATCTATATTTTTCATATTTTCAAATCTCAGTGGTGCGTGAAACAAATATGGAAAAACACAAACTTAAAGTATCGCTCTCACATCTAAGATAAGCATAAATGGCAACAGCATCCTGAACCAGAAAGTGAACGAAATACTGCTTGAACTAGAAAGGTAAATATATTTTTAAAATTTAATTTAAGGACAAAAAACAAAATGGAGTAACGACAGAAAGGTACTTAAGGAAACCCAGGACAAAGCAATCGAAACCAGGTTCAGTTAAACGAATAGGTTTTTTCTTGTTATTTCACATTGGTACGTATTCGTTCAACTGTCAAAGCCTACAGAATTTCCTGTTTATTGCACTTGGGTTGAATTCGTTTTATTTTAGTTGAGTCTCACTGGAGGGCATGGCTTTTCAAGACGATGTATTTTGCTTCCGCAGAACAACTTCCAGCCATTCTGTTCAGACACACCATACGCCCTTGGATCCTGTTTATATGGTTTCTTTCAGTTTCTAGAACTGTCTCTACATGTGTAATTCAGACAACAACAACAATAATAATAAGGCCAATCAACGCAATCTCTTGTTTTGGCAAAGTTCTTCCTTCCTTATACAGAAAAACTGCTAGATTATACGGACAGCGGAGTTATTTTTGTACATGTTGCAAGTTTATATACTGAGCGTATTACCGCAAAAGTATCGAAGGTGATGCTACACCGTTTACATTGCAGTGTGCTAATGACATGGTAGTCGGTGCTATTTAAAGAGGTTTTATTATGTATACCATCGGCAATAAGCAACTAGTGAAGAACTAAACTGAATTACCAGGTCATAATATAATTACTGCCAGCTGGAAATTAAGGCCAATGGTGTACTAAACAACTGCAGGAGAAATATATGCTGTTCAACTCAAAGGCGAAACGTCCCCGGTGAAGACAATTGCGGCCGCTACGAAAAACT